ATCTATCTATCTATCCATCTACCTATATACATGTATATTTGTATGTCTGCATGCATGATTAGTATGGCATTGAGTCCTACGCCTTTTGATTCGCAGTCGTACTACCTGTATAGTGTACAAACTCTGCCACGACCTCTAATGGAGCAAAAGCACGGTGATGAACATGCGTATGAGGCCTGGCCGGGTGGTGGCTGCGAGTATAGTAACCCCCCCAGTAGCCCCTTAATAATAAGGGTACCCTTTTTCCTATTATTTAGTTTTAATCAGGGAACCCAAGAAGAAAAAGGGCAAAAGGGTACTGCTGGGGAACCTAGTCTTCCTTATGTCTATTGACTCTGCGCACGCCATGTTCTTATAATAAACCCTAAATCCTAAACCCTAAACCCTATTTTTTGCTATGCTCTTATCAAGTAAGGCCTCCACAGTTCTTAAAATGCTAGGTTCTATTGCACGGAAACGCGGGGATTCTCTGTTCCTTTATGATCCTGACGACTCTTTGGACTCACTTAAAAAAGGCTCTACGGGGATTCTCTGTTCTTTTTATGATCCTGACTACTGCTTTGGACTAACTTTAAAGAGGCTTTGACAAGCAAAGCCTTGACCAAGAGCTGTCAAGAGCCCGGACTCCCTACAGAGCCCTTCGCATCCCTCCTGTGGCGACCTTGACAAGACACATCGGGTTTAGGGTTTAGGTTTCTCGGGTTTTCGGGGAGAGTATGGGACTAGAAGGGGGTGTTAGCACGAATCATAGACCTCTGCGCTGGAGCCTTGTCCCAACTTCTTCCGTACTCTACGAAGTTCCCATGCTACCCCCTAAGCCCTAAACTTTAAATCCTAATCCCTGAACCCTAATCCCTAAATCCTCAAGCCTCAATCCTAAACCCGTAATGTAGGGGCCCTAGTGGTTAGAATAGGGCTTCGGGCTTCTTTCTAGTATATCTATTGTAATAAGAATAATATTGGCAACCTTTTAGGCTTCTATACTACCTATAGTCTCCATTGTAGTTCCTTTTTTTGGTTTAACCAACTATAGATTAAGGATTTTATAAGGTATCCCCAAAAAGGAACTACAATGGAGCCTACAGGTAAGCCCCTTAAACCTGGCACTGCCAAAAAGGCTGTCAACCCACAGTTCCAGAACGCACAAGAGGGCTTCAGGGCTTTCAGGGGTGTTTAGGGTTTAGGGGTTTAGGGTTTAAACACTCGTTTCAGGGGTGTTTAAGGTTTGGCGGTTTAGGGTTTAAACACCCCTTTCAGGGGTGTGTAGGGTTTAGGGGTTTAGGGTTTAAGGTGTTTAGGGTTTAGGGGTGTAGGGATTTAGGGGTTTAGGGTTTAGAGTGGACTTTACGGCTTCAGGAGTTGATGGTTCTTGGGGTTTAGGTTTGGGGTTTTGGGTAAGCGCAGGGCCTTGACCCTCTTCACGTCCTCTTTGCTCGCCCACTTTGGAACGGAGTACCTCGCACCAGATTATTTGTTGACTAGTGGTCTAAAGAAGAGATTAATCGCGAAGTCGAATTGGGTGACGGGTGTCAGTAGAGCCAACTGACAAACCGTCGCAGGGCCGCTGAAAGGTCTTCCAAATTTGTTGGTTTAGCGGCCTTAAACCCTAAAGCCCTACATCCTAAAAGCCCTAAACCCTAAACCAAAAATATCGCCCTTGTAAGGTTTTATTCAGGGCTCTCTGAAACCTTTAGACTTACGGCTCCCTTGTCAGTCAAGAGTTCGCAGCATTCAAAGAAAAAATGTACAGTATTCAAAGTCTGAACCCATGGGCCCTTAGCATGGGCCCTTAACCCTGGGATCCGTATACACCTACTATATACCCTATATGTACCCTTAAGGGTCCCTAAAGGCCTAAGGGTCCATATTCGGGGCCCATGCTTCTAACCTTGGGAGTAGAGGATGCCAGGAGCTTTTCAAGGACACATGAGGGTAGTTCTCTAAATTAGGGACCCTTTTAGGGTCCTTTTTACAAGGGTGCCATACTATATTGGGGACCTGAAGAGGGA